AACCGATGGTTTGCCAAAAATCCCAGGAGGATTTGCAAGGCACACCTGCCTCCCCCTGCCTTGCTGTTGGGCCGTCTTCTGGGAAGATTTGAGACCAGGGCCCCTCAAACTTGGCAACCTTAAGACTTGTGGAAGTCCACAAGTCTTAAAGCTGCTAAGGTTGGAGAGCCCTGGACTAGATGACCTAAAGATCCCTTCCAACTCTGTTAATCTGTTTTTCTCATCTTTCTTTTTGGTGGTTTGGAAAATAGTTTGACTCCTCCCCTCATCTTTTTGGGAGCCCCTTAGATATTGGAACACTGTTATCATGTCTTCCCCTGGTCCTTTCCCCCCCACCAGACTAGACATACCCACCTCCTGCAACCATCCTTCATATGTTTTAGCCTCCAGCCCCCTAATCATCTTCGTTGCTCTTCTCTGCACTTTCCAGAGTCTCAAGAATGAACGGGTGGCTCCATCACTTGAGGTTTTCAAGAAGAGAGTGGACAACCCTTTTTCTGGGATTGTGTAAGGAACTTCCTGCCTTGAGCAGGGGGTAGCAGTAGAAGACCTCCAAGGACCTTCCAGAGCTATGATTCTAGTGCTCATCTTGGCTTAAGAGGTTCAATAAAATCTAGAATCAGAGAGGAGCCCTCTGCTTAAAACGGGTGCACATATCGTTTTAGACCTATCTCTTCAACCAATTCTGCTTGGTTGTATTTTTCCCCCGTTAAATAAACACGTGAAAGGTTTCCTGTTTTAATAGGCCGCTTCCCCCCCCCAGGTACAGCCTCCGCTACAGACCCAGTATTATTGTATGTTTGTTTCCTGGCACGCCTCTTCCTCCCGTGGTGTGATATGTCAAGCTCAATTACTCACCACAAGGTTTATAAGAGCGGTCGGGTGCAGATTTGCCTACCAGCCAGGGTGCTTCCTGAATCTTAAATCAGGCTGGCTCTTTTCCGTTCTCCTCTTTATGCTCCTGCTAGCACTGATAGAAAGACTGAAATTCGTCTCCCTGCAAGTAGAAAGCTAGCCGAGCAAGGAGAAGAAACAGGAGGGGTTATTTTTCCCTGTAAGTGTTTTACTTGAGAGCGCCGTATGTGTGTAATCGGTCGGTTTCAGAGGTGGTATTCAGCCGGTTTGGACCAGTTCTGGAGAACCGGTAGTAGAAATTTTGAGTAGTTCGGAGAACCGGCCAATCCCACCTCTGACTGGCCCCACCAACCCCATCTATCCTCTGCCTCCCATTGAGTCCCAGATGATCGGCTGGATCTTCTTTGTTTGCCTTGCAGAGGAGAACAGGCCTGGAAAGCAGGTTAGTGGGGTGGGGAGGGAAGGGGTTTTTTGCAGTATCCTTCCTCTGCCACGCCCACCAAGCCCCACCACGCCACGCCCACAGAACTGGTAGTATAAAATTTCTGAATCCCACCACTGGCTCTGTTTGCAATGTGTTTTTCAGGCAAACAAAATTGTTTGCCTAAAACACACATTGTGCAATTTATGTTCCAAAATAAAACAGCATCCTCCACCTTAAGTTTGAGATGAAACCGTCTGTTGTGACAGTTCGTTCGGCTGTTTCAAGAGATCCGGCAGCGGAAATTGTACTGAAAGGAGATGGGGTGGAAACTTGGCAGGCAATAATGCAAATGACATAGGGGTTATTTTTTTCTTTTCTTTTATTCTTCAATAAGACCCTCTCTTATTGTGCAGGCTGCCATTTGCTACACCTGCAAAGTCAGGGGTTCCAGAAAGCTTGAGATCCTATCTTAGAGAGGGCCAATACAGGTAGTCCTCGACTTGTCAGGGCTCCGACATCATGAGTCTCTAGCTGCATCTCTCAGAGTTTAAAAAAAAAAAAAAACACCACAAGATTTATTGGGAGTGGACATGCCGGCACTACCTGGGTGCCGCCGACTCTGAGACACATCATTCATTTCCCCCTTGATCCTGGGCTTCCCCCCACCACCCCCTGGATGCATATTCTCCAATGGGACACTTCCATAGCCAAGAGTCATCAATCATGCACTCCAGTAATAATCTTGCATGCCAGAAGCTTCGGCTGCCTAGCCACTATCTATGGAAGCATTTAAGAAATGCACTACTTCCCCAACTCTCTTTCTGCTGTCAACTCTAAAAGACCAGAGAAATATTTTTGAGTTGACACAACTTACAACAGTTCATTTAGTGACCATTCCAAGCAGACCATTCAAAGCATAGCTGGCTGGAGAATTCTGGGAGCTGAAGTCCACAAGTTGCCAAGTTTGGGGACCCCTGATGCAAAGTTCCGACGGCACTGGAAAAAAAGTGACTTCTGACTGTTTCTCACACTTACAACCATTGCAGCATCCCCAAGGTCACCTGATCAAATTTCAGATGCTGGACAACTGACTCAGACTTACAACGGATGTGATGTACGGGGGGGAGGTCATGTGATCCCTTTTGCCACCTTCTGAGAAGCAAAGTCTATGGGGAAGCCAGATTCATTTAACAACTGCAGTGATTCACTTAACAACAGTGGCAAGAAAGGCCATAAAATGGAGCAGAAATCACTTAACAAATGTCTCCCTTAGCAACATACATTTTGGGCTCTATTGTGATTGTAAGTTGAGCACTAGAGAGTGGACTGGAGGCTGAAACATATAAAGAACAGTTACAGGAACTGGGCCTGGCTAGTCTAGTGAAGAGAAGGACCAGGGGAGACAGGATAGCCGTCTTTCAATATTTGAGGGGCTGCCACAGAGAGGATGAGGGGTTCAAGCTGTTTTCTAAGGCCAGACAAAGAATAATGGATGGAAACTTAACAAGGAGAGATTCAACCTGGAAATAAGGAGAAAATTTCTGAGTGAGAACAATCACAGGAGCTGCCTTCGGAAGTTGTGGGAACTTCATCACTGGAGGCTTTCAAGAAGAGACTGGACTGCCATTTGTCAGAAATGGTGTAGGGTCTGCATGGGAGGGGGGGTTGGACTAGATGACCTACAAGGTCCCTTCCAACTCTGTTAATCTGTTAAATCTCTTAAACTACCTGTATTTTCCCTCCTGAAAATAAAATGGAAAATTCCCGCATTGCCACCTGTCTCTCCTTCCTTTCTTCTTTTGACTTACTGAGATGCCATGGAAAACATTACGTCAATCATGGGTTTCTGTATACATAATGGGAAGAATGGAGAGGGCGGAACACTTTTCCTTTGTGTGGATTTGACATGTTCTGATTGTCTTGACATGTTCAGTTTTACACAGGTTTTTCCCCCTCCTAAGGATCCTGGATAGAATCTTACCTCTGTATGTTGCTTTTTGAAGGAATGGCTTCCATATCAACTACAGGGAGTCCTCAACGTAGGGCCACAATTGAGCCCAAATTTGTCGTTGCTAACCAAGACAGTTGTTGAGTTTTGCCCCAGTGTATGACTGGTTAAGTGACTCTGGCAACTCCTAGAATTCTCCAGCCAGCATGGAGGCCTTAACTTTTCTTGCCATTAAAATTCATTTTGTAATATAAAACAATAAACACTAACATGCCTGGCTGAGGAATTCTAGGTGTTGGAAGTCCACAAGTCTTAAAAGTTGCCAAGTTTGGAGACCTCTGGATTAAACCATCCATGTTGTTGGCTGGAGAATTCTGGGAATTGAAGTTCACACATCTGTCAATCATCCCAACTTGGTCAGTTAGAAAAAAAAAAAGGCTCACAGTCTCATTTTAAGCCAAAAGTACACTTTACTAAAGCCAAGTGGTTGCAAAAGAAGCAAAGCCGGATCTGAGTTTTTCGCGCCCAAAGGGTAACTTTTCTCTTGTTCCCATCTTCCCCACCTAATAAATTATTTGGGTAACATTCCTGGTCTTCCATGGACTGAAATTTCAAAATGTGACCTTGGATCGACCGGTGGCTCTCGTGGAAAGGTCTGGTGCTTAGTTTTGATTCTTCTCATGCTAACTCTCCCCTTATCCCACCCCACCAATCTCTCCCCTCCCCATTGAGTAACAGGCAATGCATGATGTGGCAGGATGGCGGTCCTGACAACATGTTAAAAGTGGCCAGGTTGAGAAATACTGACGTTACATCTCCCCCAAGTGGTTGATTCGTTCCCTAAATAACAATATACTTATATACCGCTTTATTGTGCTTTTACAGCCCTCTTTGAGTAGTTTGCAGAGTCAGCCTCTTGCCCCCCCCAAACAATCTGGGTCCTCATTTGACCCACCTCGGAAGGATGGAAGGCTGAATCAACTTTGAACCAGTCAGGATCGAACTGCTGGCAGTTGGCAGAGTTAGCCTGCAATACTACATTCTAACCACTGTGCACCATGGATGGATTGTTGCCCCCAACAATCTGGCTCCTCATTTGACCCACCTCGGAAGGATGGAAGGCTGAGCCAACCTTGAGCCTGGTGGGATTCGGTCTGCCAAATTGCAATAGGAGTAGCTTGCAGTACTGCACTCTAACCACTGTGCACTGTGCACCATGGATGGATGGATGGATGGATGGATGGATGGATGGAAGGAAGGAAGGAAGGAAGGAAGGAAGGAAGGAAGGAAGGGCAATAGCACTTATATACCGCTTCACAGTGCTTTTACAGCCCTCTCTAAGCGCTTTACAGAGTCAGCCTCTTGCCCCCCAAACAATCTGGGTCCTCATTTGACCCACCTCGGAAGGATGGAAGGCTGGGCCAACCTTGAACCAGTCAAGATCGAACTGCTGGCAGTCGGTAGAGTTAGCCTGCAATACTGCATTCTAACCACTGTGCACCATGGATGGATGGATGGATGGATGGATGGATGGATGGATGGAAGGAAGGAACCCCATCCCACTAACCTGCTTTCCAGCTCTGTTCTCCTGTGCAGGGCAACCAAAGGAGACCCAGCCGATCAGCTGGGACTCGATGGGAGGCAGAGAAGAGATGGGGTTGGCGGGGCCAGTCAGAGGCGGGATTTGCCGGTTCTCCAAAACCACTCAAAATTTCCGCTGCTGGGTTCTGGAGACCACCACTGCCCTAACGTGTTTTCTTCTTTCTTTTTTAGCTTCTCACCAGCCGTGTCCAAAATGTCTTCAGAGTCAACTTCAACCCACCAACGGTCTCCACCTCCCAGGGCTCTCCGTCTGCCCGAAGGCCGCCGGACCAGAGACCGTTCTCCTTCCCCTATGAGAGCTTATCTGATCCCAAGCCCACTTCCGACTCGCAGGAACCGCACGTTTTCAGCGTGAGTATGGAGGCGAGGAGGTGAGACCCTGGCTGGGGAGGAAGGAGAAGGCGTCTCGGAGTCCTTCCCCATTGTGAAATAGTGCAGTTTGTCAGAATTTGGGGCTCCAACTCGATCCAGAGGGCTGCACAAGAATAAATAAAAATGAAATCCAGACAGCGTTGAGGAAAAAAGAAATATATATTTCAAAAAGCAGTTTGCCTTTAGGGGCAGCTGTAGAGAAGTGGGGCACGGCGGCAGGCTTTTAGGTATGTATTCTTGTGACCAAGCAGTTCCTCTGGGAGACCTAATTTAATGAACTCTTACTTGTGAGTGCAGACCTTCTCCTTTGATATGTGGATTAGGCAATGGTGGGATTCTACCAGTTTCCCGAGTGGTTCGGTGATTGCGCACTTCGCACAGCTTCCCAATCAGCTGGGAGGATAAAGAACAGAAAAGCGCAGAGCATCCATCGGAGCCTTTCCAAGACTCCAGGACTGGCCCACGTTCCTCCCCAACCTCCTCATTGTCCTGGCAGCTGGCAGGCCACAACCCCTGTATTATTTATACAACATCTTGCCAAAAATATTGAAATACACCCCCCCATTTTTAAAGAGAAACGTATTATCCTGAATTCCCAACTGCTTGGAATTTAACATGTTCGCAATAAAGATGGTTTTTTTTTTCATGAACTAACAATAGCAAAAGAATAATCTTTAAGAGATGGAAAAATGCTGTAATTCCAAATATAAAGGATTGATTTTCAGAGATGGGTGATTTTTGCCATTTTTGGGAACTTTATATGTTTGGTTAATTTAAAAAAAAAGTCACATGATCTCTCCGTTTGGAAAAAGATTCATGAACAAGCTTGGTTAATGTTGAAAGATTAATTTTTCTTTTTAAAGGCTTACAAAATCGGGTGAATTTGGGAAGTAATTGTAATTACAGTTTCAAAGTTTGCTTTACGCATTTTCTTGTGTAATGATAAGTTGTCTACTTTTATATTATTTTAGGTATTTGAAAATGAATTAATAAAACCTAGTTTTGGGTGGGAGGGGCATGCTTTTTCAACCGGTGTGTGTGTGTGTGTCTATTTTGTGTCTAGCAGATGCCCTTGTGGGTGGGGCATTTGGGATATGACATCACAAAACGGGTGTGGTTAAAATTGGCAGAGAGTTTGAAGGGTCAGTGGAGAACAGATAGGAAGGGGTGTGACCAACAGTTGGCTTTGATGCCCACCGAGTTCCATGTTCTTCCTGAAATGTTTCAAATGTAGACCACAAATCCTGGTCCACCTAACTCAATGCTCTTGAAGAGAAGGAATCAGAAGGCAATGGCTGGCTGGAGAACTCTGGGAGTTTTGAAGTCCACATGTCCACAGTGGCCAAGGTAGAAAAACAAGATGCTTTGCACCATTTGGATTGGTCCAAACGAAAGCCTCACCTTATGACCAACCTATAACCGTAGTTATGATTCATTTGCTAGTGCTCCAAAAGGGATTTGCACCCACCAGTAACTATGACATCAGCCCAAGTGAGAAGCACACATGACTCAGCCACCGGTGGTGGTGTCACAATTGCATCCAGGCCAGAAGCTCAAAAGTTGTGCAAGGGAGGGAGGTGGTGAGCAGGAGGGAAGGAGAAGGACATGGGAGCCAAGCTGTTCCCAGCTTCTTCCACTCCTGGTTGGTAGGAAGGGTGGGCAACCACCCTGGCATCTCCATGGCATCAGAACCACTTCGGTCCAGCAAGTCAAGGTGAGAGAGAACCTCGGAACTCTCAGCAAGGTGTAGCCACAAGTATGAGCAAGAATTTGTAACTCAAAGCTCCCCCTGGTTTCCCCCCTTAATCAGTGGAACAACTTGCCACTAGAAGTTGTGGGTGCTTCATCACTGGAGGTTTTTAAGAAGACTTTGGACAGCCTGTTGTCTGAAATGGCATAAGGTCTTCTGCTTCAGCTGGGGGTTGGACTAGAAGACCTCCAGGGTCCCCATTCAGCTCTATTCCTGAATTGGAATTTTTGAGTTCCTAAGAAATTTTTCAGTTCCTAAGAGTCCCTTCCAGCTCTGTTATTCTGTTAATTCTGAATGATGAGTCAACAGTTGCCTTCCAGATTCTGATTCATTTTTTTCAAGCTACTTTGAGTTAGGACAGGTGGACCAGAATTTCTGTTCTGGTCCACCTGTCCACCATGTTCTTCCTGAAATGTCTCAAACATGGACCAGAAAATTCTGGTCCACATTTGAGACATTTCAGGAAGAATATGAAACTCAGGGGGCCTCAAAGCCAGATGTTAAATGAACAAGGATTTACTGGACAATTGATTCTGGGTTTTCCCCCTGTTTTCTGATCTTAATGTCTAGCCTTACATTTAATGTAATTTTTTTTTAAAGATTGCAATAACGTTTGCAGGCCTTTCTTCACATTTCTGTACTGTGTTCATGCTCAAGTTTTATTTATTTATTAACTTACTTATTAAGCAATTTTATAGAACTGTCCAACTCCTGGGCAGTAACTCTGGGTACTGTACAACATTAAAACCCACTGTTAAAAGTCCACAATTTAAAACCCGCCACACCTCTTTACTTCTGGTTTCCATTAAAAACCACCCCAGAGCAGACAAACTTAACAAACATGGTGTTCAGTTAATGACCGCTATAAAGAAGGTTGCAAAATGACCAACAGGACTGGTGACTGTAACTGCCATTCTCAGTGTATAGTCGTAAGTTGAGAATGTATGGATTGGTTTTGTGATAGAACACATCCTTGCTCTTCTATAATTGCCATCCATGCAAACCCCCTTATAAAAGTCCATGTTTCTGCCTTAAAAACCCCAAATCTTTTTTCAGTCTAACCTTATCTGGAACAAGCTTCTTGTATCGTTCAGTATACAAAATCTGACTTTTGACCCGTTTTTAGTATTCTTCCTCCTTTGGTATTTCACGAGAAGAGTCCTCCATTCCTCTGCTCGCAATAGAATACCTTATGTCACCAGGCTTGAAATTTTGGACCTGGACAACCTAGAACTACGCTGCCGACAATCTGACCTAAGCTTAGTACACAAAATTGTCTGCTATAACGTCCTAACTGTGAACGACAACTTCAACTTCAACCACAATAACACAATGGCAAACAATAGATACAGACACTCCAAACTCGATTGCAGAAAATACAACTTCAGCAACAGAGTGGTCAATGCCTGGAACTCACTCCCTGACTCAGTTGTTACATCCTCAAACCCCAAAACTTTAACCTTAAACTTTGACCCTCACTCCATTCCTAAGAGATCTGTAAGGGGGCGTGCATAAGCGCATCAGCGTGTCTATCGTCCCCGTCCTACTGTTCCCATTTATTTGTAGTCGTTTATTATGTATATACTTATACCTGTTTATACTTATATGTTTATATGCTATGTTCATACTTATACTTGTTTTCTCATACATGCTCGACAAACTAAATAAAATAAAATAAATTCCATCCTTGGCTAAATCCTGC